GTGAAGAGCCCATAAGCAGACAACGTTAATTTTTACTGATTGAGAAAATGTTGACTGGGGAAGTCTGGGGCTTATTACGCTGTCCAGAGGCCCTACACTGTTGCCCGAGCCTTATATGTCCACCATCCGGATCAATCTGATCGCTTAGGAGCCTACCACGTTGCCCTTGATATCTTTACATTTTGTCTTAGGGCCCTACGCTTCTGTCGGGACACTATCTGTTTACATGCCCGGCACTCTTAATCGATCAGGTTTTCTTCCACGGATTTTCCCATTCGCCCGAAAGGCTTTACACGCTTTTCCGGTCCCCATATGCCAGGGTAGACTCAGTTGCTCCGGGGCCCTTCACATTGATGTCGGGTTCTTTTCATTTGCTCAGAGGACCTTGTGCTGTTGCTGGGGCTCATATATGGTAAGGTACCGGGCCACGCGATGTTCAGAGGCACTCCACTTTGCGCTGGGGCTCTCTCCTTTTGATCTCATTTGCAGAGGACCCTTCACTCCTGTATCGGGCCCTTTCCTTTCACCTGCCCGGGTACTCCTGGTCGCGCAGGGGTATTAGTTTGTTACATTGGTATTCAGCAACTTCCCTTTGCTCAGAGGGACATGTGCTCTGCCTAGTGTTCTACATGTCAGCCTGCCGGGGCACTACTGATCGTTCACGAGCCCACCACGTTGGTCTTGGATTCATCTCGCTTGCTCTGAGGACCCTATACTGGTTGACGGAAGCCTCGTTGTCGGCCCCGCGGCACCAACGATCGCCCAGGCTAGGTCCCTATTGGGCTTGGTGCCTCAGCCTTAGAGCAGCAGTGAGGCATGCGCCGATGAACTCTTATGTGCGATTGTCGAAGATAATTTGACGCGCCGCTGACGCCGTATATGCCATTTCCCTGGGCGTTTGAATGCGTAACACTGAAATATTTATGAGTAAAGCTATGAAAGCATTTTGAATGCTAGGATGTTTTGAAATCCTTTATAACAGAGAAAAAAACGGTATTAGTCATCAGCTATCAGCTGATCACATCGACCGGCCGGCTAGCCATAAATGAGCATGAAACCAATTCCATGTTTATTTTGATGGTATTTAGCAACCGACTTTGGTCTATTTTGCCTGCTTTTTCGAAATCCTAGGATTCCGTTGTAATTGTAACCAAAGGAAAACGTACAAACTCAAGTCGGCTTTCGTGCAAGTACTTCATGTAAGTGGCCTCACATTGAGTTTCCACACACGCACTCTAAGAGAGTGCACGTGTCGTGCATTTTTGCACTGCTTTTCGACATAGCTGCTCTCATTATTATCAGCCTCGGTAAGCGGCTTAACATAAAACCAGTCCTCGCAGCACCGAAATATGTGTACATGGATAATCATCCATGCTCAGGCCGTGGGGCGGTGATCTGGGGTACTGAATATCCCCATTTTCAGGGGCCATCCTGCACAACACACCATACACGAAACAAAACGAAACGGAATAGGTACCAGGAAAATGGTTTTGGCGGGAGAGACTGCGAAGACGGCAGGAAACACCGCGCTAACAACGGCAGCAACCGCAATGCATAACATCCGTTGAATGATATAGTGATTATCGCATCGAGCATAATCACAGAAAAGTGTATGTTTTGTGCGACAGTGCTGCTACGGAGGCAATTTTGGACAAATACATGGTGAATAAACTTTGACCTGGCTTTATTATTGACGATATGAAGCGGGTTTGCCTGAAATTACGGCGGACCATTGGTCAGATGGAACTTGAAAGGGCGGATCGGAGAAGCCTAAATGGCTCCCATCGGGGATGGTTAAAAAGGTCTGATCTGGGCTATACGGGCCCATCTGGGCTGGTTACATGGGTCCCAGCTGGACATACCCAACTGGGTGGCCAAGGTGGGCTCATGTGGGTCACAGTTGGGCCCCACGTGCGCCACAGGTGGGTTGCCCATGTGGGACCGTAGTTAACCATGCTTGCGTGGGTTCCACTGGGCAGCTCAGGTGGGCACCATGTGGGTCCCATTTTGGCCCCATATGATCCCCAGGTGGGCTGCCCATGTGGGGCTCAGGTGGTTGTCCATGACATGCCCACATGGGACCGAAGTGGGCAGCCCTGATGGGCCCCATATAACTGCCCATCTCGGACCCACATGGGTCCCAGCTGGACAAGCTGGCTGGGTTTAGCCTAAAGTGACCGGATTTATCATGATCTGGAGAAAATGAGCAAGTTCCATGTATGTGCACGCTTAGAAGGCCTAGCTTTCTTGGGCTGCGCATTGTAAGGCGGGCTCGCGTATTAGCTATGCATCACATGTGTAAATATATATATATATATATATATATATATATATATATATATATATACATATATATATACATGTACGAAACGATATATATATATATATATATATATATATGCATCATGAAAAACTAAATGTCATGGATGCAAGTACTACAGGATTGGGGCGCCTAAACTCTAGGGGGGCTCACAATGTTGCTTGCTCCCCCCGCCCTTGACGAAATCCTGGATCCGCCCCTGGTAATCATAGTCCGCTTTGTTGAGTCGCAGCGGCTTTGACTGTTCTGGACCGCAGTTCATGTCACCTCGTTTTGTGGGATGATTCATGGAAGAAAGGTGGCGCGGAGCGGATGGATGCGCGGCCTTTTAAGGGGCGGCAGCGACTACCGTGGCCAAATCAGCACTCAGAGGACACAAGGCGAGTGTGGACGTCCGGACCTCCGCGTGAAGGGGCACAGTTTTATCCGACTAACATTATTCCACCTTGGGATTATAGGGTATAATTTTACAGGTTTAGCTGTGAAGGTAGAACAAAAAATATCGAGGGCATAGCAGGTTTACATGCGTCAGGTGATGTTTTTTGCATAACATTTTAGCTGCAGCATGAGGAATAACAGCTCTGACATTAAACTGTTCATCGTGTAAACTGGGCCTTCTAGGTGACAATTACGCCTTGCGACAGCTCGTCCAACACGCTTATCACTCCTCGGCACGACATTATTGCACAGGCACACCAGACCATAGGCACCACCACAGGCACACCAGACCATAGGCACCATAGGCACCACCACAGGCACACCAGACCACTTCAGGAGGTAGTCCGCAGGCCGGAGCGAGGGACACTCTTCAGACTCTCATCCCAAAAGCGGACTTTCATCCGGTTATGATAGTCTGAATGAGCACAGCAAGGTGAAGCGAAGAAACTATCGCGGCCAACCAGCGAGGCGGCATATGGCTGATCCCCAGCCCCAGAATCACTCAACAGGCTCACTCTGAATCGTACATTATACCGACTTATCGGTTTGATAACAGTGATTTGGTGTGCGCCACGAACTGAGCCAGGCGTGCCAGGTCAGAACATCAGTGACGTCACGTCCGGAGGGCTGAGCCGGGGGGACCAGGTCAGAACACCAGGGACGTCACGTCCGGAGGGCTGAGCCGGACGTGCCGGGTCAGAACACCAGTGATGACACACCTGGACGGCCGATCAGAGAGCAACACGTGAGTACCGCTGCAGGAACAAGCACCAAGTCGAAATAGACTCGCGGACAGTCGAGCTCGTGTTGGGAGATGGGAGACTGATTAGCAGCGGCCAACAACCACAGCGGACTCAACACGGGGAAGATCCATTGGAAATAACCCTTTGGAGCAATGACCCGGCTAAACAAATTATTTTACTGGACAGATCAGTGAATCCACGAATCCATGGAAGACCATCGGTTCCCACAGATGATATTATCGTGGCAGCCTGTGAAGGATGTCATCAGCACGTTTGTGGTATCTATGTCCTACTATCGCAATTCGATCCTCTTCGACTGGGCGGTGTTACCTGTGATGCTTATGCCGTCGGTATGTCGTTAAATCCGATGTAATAGGACGTCACGACCGCAATGGTCTATGGCGGAAGGTGGTGGGTTGTTGCTACCTGAGTAAGTTTTATTGAAGCCTGCTCACAAGCCCGGCACGGTTGGTTGTTATGGCAAAGGCCTGGACGCCAATGGCCCAGTGCCTACGAAGCGAATGGGGCTGGCACCGCCTTCAGCTGCAAGTGTCCGTGTTAACTCTGCTGAAGCGGAGTAAAATGCGCATGGCTTCGCAAGCCCACTGACAGCGCCAATCATAATCTCACTTTCTTGTATTTCGCTTCGGACAAACGTAACGATACGATATGATTCCAGATCTGACGCACCTAAATCACACGGTCTCAAACCAATGGCGGGCGAACGCCGATCGAGCGGCTCGGGATATATCCAGACGCCATTGTACTCCGGTGGGCCGGGATATATCCAGCCGCCATTGTACTCCGATGGGCCGGGACCAACACGCCAGCGACAACCACGCAACACACGAGATCCCTCTCTTTGGTCATCTGGTGCCTGACCTGGCTGCGGGGTCGAGACCGGCCCAGCGACGCTGGCTGCGGGGTCGAGACCAGCCCAGCGACGCTGGCTGCGGGGTCGAGACCAGTCCAGCGACGCTGGCTGTGGGGTCGAGACAAGCGCAGCGACGCTGGTTGCGGGGTCGAGACCAGCCCAGCGACGCTGGCTGCGGGGTCGAGACCGGCGCAGCGACGCTGGCTGCTGGGCCGAGACCAGCCCAGCGACGCTGGCCCGAGGCCGTGTCTGGCGGAAAAATGCCTCTTTCGATAGCCCGATGCCCGTATGCGGCCGAGAATCTCGCGCTGGCCGGCCGGGACAGATCGCGCTGGTGACCTGGGCGGTTACGCTGGCCGGCCGGGACAGATCGCGCTGGTGACTGGCCGGGACAGATCGCGCTGGTGACCGGCCGGGACAGATCGCGCTGGTGACCGGCCGGGACAGATCGCGCTGGTGACTGGCCGGGACAGATCGCGCTGGTGACTGGCCGGGACAGATCGCGCTGGTGACTGGCCGGGACAGATCGCGCTGGTGACTGGCCGGGACAGATCGCGCTGGTGACTGGCCGGGACAGATCGCGCTGGTGACCGGCCGGGACAGATCGCGCTGGTGACCTGGGCGGTTACGCTGGCGGCCCGAGTCATGTCAGAGCAACGGCCGATTCAGGGCGCGCTGGCATCCCAGATTGGGGCCTAGTTGTACCCCGGGTCAAAATCAGCGCTGGCTGGGGTTTCGGCTGACAGGTCAAGGGGGCTCTGGTCAGGATCCAGGTAACGGCAGGCCGGGTCACGGCGGCAGATCACGGTGGGCCACGGCGGGCTGCGACGGGCAGCGACGGCGAGTCACGGCAGGCTGCGGCGGGCAGCGACGGCGAGTCACGGCAGGCTGCGGCGGGCGGTGACGGCCCGGTTCGGGTCCGTCCGACCCAGGCTGACCCCGGCCCGGTAGGTGGCGCGCGCCAGGTCGCAGTGTAGCGAGCTGGACCGGTCGGCTGTCACCACGTTGCAGATCACCTCCTGACGACACTCACCGTCGCAGTCGGCCTGCACACGCGAGCCCCCGCTGAGGTTCCTGCGGCCGCCGGCAGGTGGCAGGTCAGGGCACATTCCGCAGCTCGGCGGGTCAGGTAACTCTGCTGCTTCGAACGCGGCTGGTGGGCGGAGAAACGGGGGGGGGGGGAGAGGGGTCCCTTACTCACCCCAAGATTTGATTGCCCTACCAGACACGCACGCGTTCTGAGACGTTCCTGCGCCTATGGCACAGATGTAAAAAACCTGGCGCTTGGTGCGGGGCTGCTTTTTGTTTGTGTTATTTCTGCAATCATTAATAACAGCATACCTACGTGATAACGAAAGTCTGAAAATATTGTGATTGGTCAACTGCCACCTGGCCGCCCTCTGTGTACATTACGCAACAATGCGGAACGGTGCACTATTCGCTGCATTCTCCTGTCAGGCGCAACACTTGCTTTGATCCGACTGGACGCCATGAAACAGGTCCGCACGGTAAGCCTTCCTGCCTGTCCAGTGACGGCGCACCTGTAGTATTTGGTGAAGAGATGGTCCTTGAGCAGCATCGCGTTGACGGCCTTGCTCCACTGTTCGGGTGAGAGTGTTGTGAGCCCGTATTCCTCAGCGGCTCGGTACTGCAGGAACCAGCCGGGGGTACCGGTCCGGGTCGCGGTTAGCGTCGGCCAGGTCGGTGGTCCAGCGCTCCAGGTCCGTCAGCTCCTGCAACACGGATTCAGGTCAGGTCAGGTCAGCGGTCCAGCGCTCCAGGTTAGTCAGCTCCTGCGACAAGGGGTTCAGGTCAGGTCAGGTCGGTGGTCCAGCGCTCCAGATCAGTCAGCTATTGCGACATGGGGTCAGGTCAGGTCAGGTCAGGTTAGGTCAGTGGTGCAGCGCTCCAGGTCAACGAGCTTCTGCGACACGGGGTCAGGTCAGGTCAGGTCGGTGATCCAGCGCTCCAGATCAGTCAGCTCCCGCGACAATGGTCAGGTCAGTCGGCTCATGCAGGGTGAGATATTGTCGGGTTGGGTGGGGTCAAGTCGCCCAGCCTTACAGGTGAGTGAGCTCCTGTGGCACGGGGTAAAGTCATGTTATGACGTCGAACACTTCAGATCAGTCAGCTAACGTGATGACATCAGCTGATCAGATAAGGTATCGTCCGGTCAGTGCGGTCGTTCAGTGCTACGGATTAGCCAAATTCCACGGCAATGGGTCATGTCAGATTAAATTGAGTTAAATGTTGTCAGGCGGTCACCCGGTGGTCTAGTTAAGTTTAGAAGCCTTGACACTAGGTCAAGTAAGGTCAGATCAAGTCGTTATCATTTTCCAGTGCTCCAGATCAGTCAAGTACCTTGGCGCAGGTAAACTCAAGCCAGATCAAGTCAGGCCGAAGATCGGAGGCCAACGCATGAGGTGCGTCCGTGCATGATCACCTTAGGTCAGATCGGGTGAGGCCAGGTCAGGCCATGCTGACACTCTACCTGGCTCAGCCCTCATTATAGTATGCACAAAGCGCCAGAAAACAGAGATTGCGCTGAGATCCGCCCTTGTATAATGTTGCATTATTGTCTGATTGCTTAGCAGGCGTGACACGGGCGAGAAAAAAAACAATAGTCATAAGATTAAATGCCACTCCAACCCGTCGGATTGCATGTCGATTCAACCGGTATCACGGCAGCGGGAGGACAGCTGAGTCTTGACTATGGTCCGATGATTCGATCACACAGAGGTCTCTCGCGACATGCTGTAAAAGGCTGCTCACAGATAGCGTTAGTCATGTTAGTCATCTTCAACCTGCTCCTCCGCCTGGTGGCGCTGAGAGGACTCTCCTTCCGTCTGGTAGCGTCGTGTCAGGCGTAGCAAAAGTGACGGTGCAAAAGACGGTGCAAAAGTTAGCACCCGTTTGGCCCCTACTTGGGCTAAAGATGCGAGAAAAGCGGACGTGCTGCTCGTCCTGAGAGGAAGACAACTGTGTCCCTCTCTAGCGTTTTAAAACAAAAAATAAGACTAGAGCATGATTTGCCATCACGCCTGAGCTTGATGTTTCCGTCTAAAACACCTCCCTTTGTTAAGCTTCGGCTGCGCTCCAACGCCCCCCCCCCCCCCCCAATCACATCGGTAACGTAAATTATGTTTGACCTGATAACTTTAATTGCTTTCACTACATTATGCTATGTAAAATATGAACGGCTGCGAGGGATTTTAGTGGCACAATCCTCCTGTTTGGCACCACCGGGGGTCAAAGAGCAATTGACAGATGTGTGGTTGGTTTTCGTAAATCAAATGGACTCATGATGCTTAAGCGCTTTGGTACGTGCATGTTGCACCCCGCGCATACGTTGTCAGATGTTGAATCCGTCCCGAGCATGCTTACCCAAGTTGAGTCTGCTCCCCTGGCGCCATCTACTGTATAAACCTTGTAGCCGGGATTGACGTCCTTCCAGGGTGATAAAGAGGGCGCTATATAGGAGACGGCGAATGCCTCGTCGTTCTTGTCTTTGGATATTTGGACCTCATCCACGTGCGTGTGAGAGAAGAACTCGGCCGTCACAGTCGTTTGGTAGCTGTAAAGAGCACATACCAATGGTCAATGTAAGCGTCTGAATACATCGATTGCTCGAAGCCTGTAGACGCAAAATACGGGCAGCGCCTACTGAGCGACGCGACTTTTGCCTTTTTTGCTTCCCGCTCACGGTGAAAGAACAACATTCCGGTCACAATTGCTACATGAATGAGTGAACTTCCAGCAACAGCTGCACATGCCTTAAAAATCATAGAGACGCTTCGCTCCTGACACCTCCGTATCGCCGCGAGGGCAGGCAGCCCGGCCACGCAGCGGTCGCGACTAGGCCGCCTCTGATCGTACCATCTCGCCGGCGGTGCGACGCTCGGCGCCGGCCGGCCATACCCGCGCAGCCCTCACCTGTGGATGATGCGGCGGTACAGGTGACTCCAGGCGGGCAGAATGTCCGGGTCGGCGGGCGAGATGTGCCCGATCACGTGGCACTTTTCGCCGGCCCTGCTGGCTGCTCGCAGCTCGCCGGCCAGCCACTCGAGCTGATGGTACGGGTCGCGCTGCGCCGTCAGCAGCACCCAGCTGCCAGCGTACCGGGGCAGCGCGGGGCACAGGTCAGCCAGCGCCGGCCGACACCGGGGCAGGGCGGGGCACAGGTTAGCCAGCGCCGGTCAACACAGGGACAGCGCGGAGCACAGGTCAGCCGGCGCCGGCCGACACTGGGGCAGCGCGGGGCACAGGTCAGCGGTGCACAGACATCACGCACTCTCTTGTCGGCGATGCAACATTGTAGCTGATGCACTTCGCAGTTCCAACAGCAGTAACTAGCACGCGTTTTGTGATATGTGTGACCCGCTTTCGAACAACCACGATGGTGCGCAATGGTGCATACATAATTTTTCTTCAAAATCGCGCGCTTTTAAGCTTACGGAAAGGTGAACATCACCACCTTGTCTGGTGTAACGCGGGCGCATCGATCCTTTCGATCCGGTCGATCCCAGCGCGTTGATCGGATCAATTTTCGGCCACGGACTCTGCGACGCCTCTGGGCAATGCCGCGTGGCGCTCACTGACTCACAAGTTAAGTTTGTAGGCCACGTTGGTGTTGAGGACGATGACTCGGAAGCCGGGCCCAACACCAACCGAATAGTAGCCGTATCTCTCCAGAGTGGCGACTGAAGGAAAGAAAGTCATCTCAGGTCATCACGTCGCGCGGAAGATTAGCGGGGCTCCAATGGGGCTTCTAAGACCAGAATGCAACCAAAGCTCACCTTAAGCTCCAAGGACTTGAGACGGATCTCACCCAGTATAAGCCATCACGTGAGAGCTGAGGAACGGGCTCGCGGCCTCAGGTAGATATCCACAATTTTTACAAGTGCACACCATATTTGCTGCTATAAAGCATTGCACAGCATGCAGGAAGCTCTGGGATTATTTCAACAACATGTTATATGTTGAGTCCCGTATCTCCTGTTTCAATAGTTGGCTTGAGGCACCATGTACCCTGTAATCTTCCTACCATGAAGAATTAACCCGAAAACAATTTAGCAAAACAATTAAAAGGCCCATGCGTTTTTTATTATTCAATATCCATGACGTTTCATATTTAACTTGACATTCTCATATTTTGCATATCCTCTGCCTTCCACATTATAGCCGCGGCTGCGTCAGGTGCCCTTTGTCTACCACATCACAGACATCGGTCTTCAGACGCGATCTATCAGCGTTTGACACTCGTCCTGACGAACGAAATACTTTGAAGTTCTGAGCAAACCTGACAGAGAGCCACAGTTCGTTACCCGCCCTCCATCCATACTTGTACAAGTTATCTTTCGGGCGCGCCCAGACGTTCTCAATAAAACGGCGCTATGACACCGTATCCGGGTTTTCGCCACTTGCCATTACACATTACGCTTGCCATACATGTTCAGCATCTCTAGGTCTTCCAATGCGGATTTTTCCTAGTGAAATGACGCCAAGTCTTAGCAAAGCACGTTTTCGTCATTGTTCCAACGTTCTATGAACCTTTTGACACGCGCAAAACATTTTCCCGTGTGGGTCTAACTGCACATTTCACTCCCGGAAGCCATAAAACGCGCAGTTTTATCAGCTACCAACATTTCCGAATGTCATGGGTCGTCATGGGTGTCGATTTCTCAAAGCGATTGGGGGGGGGGGGGACAGGGACGTGCAAGTCGGCCATAAGGGGACAGACACGAAGGACTTCACGGATTTGGTCCACTATGTTCTGACAGACATTACATAAGTATACATATATATATATATATATATATATATATATATATATATCTATATATATATATATATATATATATATATATATATATGCATATACATAAGGACAAAAATTGTGCACCGCTATTGGAAAACATCTTTCGGTGCGGAGAACACAAACGAAGCATGGCTAATTGCAGTGAGACAGCATCCTATTTTCACTTTGATGCATATATAACACACTCACAATAGGAACTATACAAAGACAAAATGAGAACACTGTTGCCATAATTACATCAATAGTGCTCACCGCCCACCACTTAATTGTTCAAGGGTTGTACAATAATTTGTTTGTTTGTGTAGGGCTGGAGAGAAATCGTTAATGAATACACTTTCCCGAATTTGAAGGCGTCTTCTGTCATTGCACGTCCGTAAAATGTCAGTGTTGTCTGTCAATTGTTGTGTCAATATCCTGTCGTGTTCGTGTCGCATGTGGTCCAGAGGTGCCCCGTCATATTCGTGTCGTATGTGGTCCAGAGGTGCCCCGTCATGTTCGTGTTGCATGTGGTCCAGAGGTGCCCCGTCACGTCAGTGCATGGTCAGGCGTCGTGTGAGTTCGTTGTGGTTACACCAATGTAGCGTATAGAATGAAGTTTGTGGCCTTCGATGTTGCATTTGAATTGATGCATTACATTGGCGCATTTTGGTTTGTCGGGTTTGTCTGGGCTGTTTCTCATAAGAAAGTCATGTTTCTTCTGACAGGGTGGTGATTGGAAGATCTGAAGGCCCATTGCGCTGTCCAGAGGCCCTATGCTGTTTCCGTGGACCTCTATGCCCACCTGCAGGGTCAATCCGATCGTTAAGGAGCCTTCCATGTTGCCCTTAATTTCTTTACATTTGCCCGGAGGGCCCTGCACTGTTCCTGGGCCCTTCCTGCTAGTGTGCCGGCACGCTCTGGTCAATCAGGGGCCTTCCATAGATTCTTCCCATGCGCCGGAAAGTCTCCGCGCACTATAGCAGGAGGCCCCATATGTTAACCTGCCGAGGTATCCTCGGTTGCTCAAGGGTCCTCCACATTGGCCTCGGTTAATCTACCTACACACTCGCTATATGCTTATGGTCCCTCTACATTCGTCTAGGGCCCTTCCACTTCGCTGTCACTCGCCTAGAGCCCTATGCTCTTTTCGGGGCCCATCTGTCAACCTGCTTAGGCGCACTTGGTCGTTCGGACCCTTCCAAATTGGGTCATCGGTACTTTCTTTTTCAATGGAGGGCCCTACACACTTGTCGGGGCCCCCATCTGTCAACCTGCTGGGATACATTGGATTGCTTGGGGGCCCTACACATTGGGCATTTGAATGTAGGGCCCTACACTTCTGTCGGGGCCATCTGACAACCTCCTCGGGTACACTCAGTCTTTAGACTGAGTCTTAAGAGTCGCAGTCAATAGTCACTCAGCCCTCGACACTGGGCCTTGGGGGCTTCTTGTTTGAATGCCGGGCCCTGCTCTCCTGTATAGGGCCTACCTGATAACCTGCTCGGGCGCACTCGAGCCCTCGGGGGCCATCTGCATTGGGACTTGGGTACTTCCTTTTTTAATGGAGGCCCTACGCTCTTGTCGGAGGCCCTATCTGTTAAACTTCTCTAGCGCACTCGATCGTTCAGAGGCCCTCTTCCTTGAGACGTGGGCATTCCTTATTTGGTGGAGGCGCCTACGCTTAAGTCGAGGCCCTCATCCCTTAACCAGATCGGGCACATGCGATCACTCCGTAGCCTTACATGTTGTGCCTCGGGTACTTTTTCTGGGGTTCATTTGCACTAACTATCCCATTTCGAAGGTGCATTTGCACTGAAATATCATTTGCTGGCCATGCCGAAACCCCGGTGGTTAGAGCGTAGGTCTAAGTGCATGACTCGCTTGCGCAGCGGGCTTAAGGCCGGTGGGCACATCGGTTCGGTTCAAACTTAAGGCGTCGCAGGTACGGAGAAAAGCGAGGTTTGTTTGGTCAGCGGCCGCATCACAACCGTAAATGGCGCGTAATAAGCCCCATGCACTATCTCACGACATGCTGGGGAAATACCAGTGTTGAAGAAAGAGCTCTTAAAAGGTTAAATTCATCCTGTCACAAACTGCGTTATTTTAAGCTTAGAACTGATATGCCGTTTCATGTCACAGCTATGGCCTATGTATATAAGTGCAGGGTTCGACGTAAAATTTCATAGTTTTCCATAATAGCCCAAATTCAGGTCTCCAGCATTTACATTATGTTACAAAGTTTTCCCGTCGACCCGAAATTTTACGATGGTGGATGGTGGATGGTGGAGTCAGTGCCCACACTTAGCGCTGGCGCTCCTCGTGGAGACGCGTACAATCAAAAGGCTCGAACCAAATGCAAAACAAAAGTTATGCCCGTCCCTATCATAACGCATTGCAGTCGGCACATACCATGACAACCAAGAAAGCAGCCTTTATATCGCAAATGCGAACGACGGTATATGTGTCGTTCGATCCCCATGATCCGATCACGTGATCGTAGTCGTCCTAACACATCGCTTCTTCCTGTTAGAACATGTACTAGAGACACTGAGTGAGGTCTCCCGACTGTGCTGTAAATTCTTGGTTTAACACTGCAAAGTATCGGATTCGTGGAGATATAGCAGGCGGACGAAACAAACCGGCTGTGTGAAACTACTGCCTGTCTCGTGTGCATTTGGGGCTCTCCCAAAAGAAAAGTTACCCATGTTTCACTTAAAAGTGATATGTAGATTTTCGCACGATCAAGACCGCAGTGGCTTCTAATGACCATGCAATGACAAAATAGTATGAACGGCAAAGGCTGTAATCAGTGACCTCACGGTCGTCAAATCGTGACTATCACGGAAGATTCTTCGAGGACGAAGACGAGGATTCCGTCAGCACCACCTCAGAGTGCTACATCGCCACCGCTCTGACATCCTTCTGAGCTGCCCCGAGGCGATTTCACGAGGCCGGTCGGGCCTGGGAGGGGCTCCAGTAGCGTGGCGCGACACCGCACACGAATGTGCGCTGTGTCGCCCGATCGCGTTCTCTGAATTAGTTGATGGCTTTCTCCCTGGCGTGCGCCTCACCGTAAGACTGCCAGCAAGTGGCTTTCCATTCGCCCGACCCGTCGGCCCTGAACTTTATGGTCGCTCCTGATCACGAGAACCGCGTCCGCATGGAAAACCAGCTTATCGCCAAAAGCTCCAGGCCACCTTTAGACTTGAGAGGGAAGGCATAACCGTCGACAAGACTGACTGGACCATCGACGACCTACAGCGGGCTCATGTGTTGTGCGCTTTGGACGGCTAGGAGGCCAAGTGGGTCATCTTTTGTTGTTACGATTTGACAGATGTGGAATATCTGATGACCACCACAGTCGCTGTGCATGTTTGCCACTGAAGTTGCAGTTGTTGCCGGCACTTTGCAGCGTCAGTGTAACGCCTGGCATCGCCTTTGCCATGTCGGCCACCCGGCCGCTCTGGCGGATCGGGCCGGGAGTGCTCTCGGGCTTCGCGCACGGCGTGGCTGGCATCTGCTTATGTTTGCCGATTCCAGACAATAGAACCCGTATCTCGACAGCAGTCGAATGCTCTCACATTCACGATTGTGCGAGCCTTTCACTGTTGAAGATAACGTTGCTTACCTTTTATCTGGGCCTCCCAATGTGTTAAAAAGCTGGCGTACATTGCCGCCCCGGTCCACCTGTGTAATCTGGTAGAAACCCTCCAGGATTCGCAGACTGGCCAAGTATATAAAGGATTTGGCACGACAAAAATGGCGAAATTGGCATGGCAAAGTGGCTTAAAAAGCCGATGCGTCTCATGCTACCAATCAATGTCAAAAGCATGAGACACCTACTTGATGCTCTTTGGTACAAAATTGGCATGATACTGATATTGATGCATGCTGCGTACCAGA